TTTTGAAAAGGCACCACTCCAGTGACAGCTCCCATACCTTTATTTCTGAGAGTGTAGTAAGCATTTCTAGCCTGTTGTAGCACTTAGCAGAGCCTTATTAGCATTAGTTGCTAATCAGTGCTAGCATGTGTAGCATATAGCAAACATAAGTCCTGTTTGCTAGCATGAGTCAAATGAGCCAATCCCCATGTCTCTATGGTGTTCTGGTGCTGAGATATCGCTGTTATTAAATGGTTGCTAGGTTAGTCTGTTTTGGTGCTGTGGAGTTGATTGACAGCTGAAGATGACGATACATCAAAGCTTCTTGCCTGCTAATATGAATGATATAAGTCGGCCCTGGTGTCTCTAGGATACTGCAGTATGAAGATATCCGTCTGCAAACTTTACAATGGCAGTCTATGGGCTTCTCCAGCACTGTAAGGCAATGGGCAAGTTTGGGGTGCTGTGCCCTCCAGGGGTACAACTTACACCCCATTTAATGTGTAGTTTTACACAGCTTGACAGCCTCTTCAGATGTGGAAGATCATGTTTCTAATAATTCTATGAATCTAAGAGTAATGATGTTGGTTTAATGTTAAGTCAATGGGATTTTTCGAGTTTTCCGGGTCAGTTTTTGGAAAACCGAATGTCGAATCAGTTGGAAAAGACATAGCAACCAGAGTCAGACCACTCTGAAGGTCTGACCCAAGTTTGGTGGTTATAGCATTAAAGCCCTGGGAGGAGATAGACTTCAAACTTCTGCCTAAAAAAAAAGAATTATAATGCTTTATATTCTCAAGCCAGGCGGCGCGGTGGTGCAGTGGGCAGCACAATCACCTCACAACAAGAAGGTCTCTGGTTTGAGTCTCGGCTGGGTCAGTTGGTGTTTCTGTGTGGAGTTTGCATGTTCTCCCCGTGTTGGTGTGGGTTTCCTCCAGGTGCTCCGGTTTCCCCCACAGTCCAAACACATGCGCTATAGGGGAACTGATCAACTACACTGACCGTAGTGGATGAGTGTGTGTGTGAATGAGTGTGTATGGGTGTTTCCCAGTACGGGATAGGGCATCCACTGTGTAAAACATATGATGGAATAGTAGGTGGTTCATTCCGCTGTGGTGACGCCTGATTAATAAAGGACTAAGCTGAAAAGAAAATAAATAAATGACTTCTCAAGCCCGCATACAGGATTATATCTCTTACCGATTGTCAGATTACTCTGCTTGTTTTGGAGAGAAGCTCACTCAGTTTTGACTCATCATTTCTGAACTCAACACTCTGTTTGTAAAGTGCTTGTTGGTTTGAGAGACTGTGGATATGTGGACTCGAGAGCAGGCGTCTTCAGCAGCGCACCTGTGAGATCACACATGGACTCTGGCTGACCTCAGATCAGATAAATCAGTGTCGTCATCGGCCGCTCACAGAGTTCAGATGTGCAGCTCGTGGTCAAACAGGTTAATGATGAAGTGTTTATGATGCTGAAGGTCAGAGGTCAGAGGTCACGCCTCGGTCTTTACAGGAACATCGTATGTTTTAAAGTTAGTCCTGACTGTAATCTCGTCCCCGATGAGCTGAGAAAGAAGGAGTTGAGGAATTCACACTGCAATACAGGCTTGACTCCAAATATTGAAAAAACTCTGAAATCAGTCAGCATTTTCAGAACCAGCACAGCATGTAGAGTTGTGTTCAGAAGTAATGAGCCTAAATGAAGAGAGCTCCTCGATAGTCATTCTGAAACGCCTTAACCAGAATGACCTCCAGAACGGTCCAGCGCCTGTGCTCCCCGCCTGACGCCTTCAAATGCCAGCTGGTGTTCTTTGTGTGTCGGCATTGAGGTGAAAGTCCTTTATTAAATGAGGAAAAGCTTTACACAGCTTCTCCTACCTCAGCAAATTCTGTTCTTATTGTTGATATTTGGCACCAGTTCATCAGGAAGGGTTGATTTTGTTCTCGTTGACTTGAAACGCTGCTTTACACGTCCTTTATGTGATGTTTATTTTAAACAGTAGATGCTCATCAAACTGCTGTAGATGAGGACGTAAACGAGGCACAGCAGTCAGACAGCAGACGTGTGTGTGTGTGTGTGTGTGTGTGTGTGTGTGTGTGTGTGTGTGTGTGTGTGTGTGTGTGTGTGTGTGTGTGTGTGTGTGTGTGTGTGTGTTCACCGCAGACGTCTGTGAGCTCCACTGATTGATCATAGTTTGTGTAATGCATTACGAGCGGCCTGAGTTCCGTGATCAGAGACGTCTTCAAGAACCCAGTGAAGTGATTCATTACTGTTTCATTTCCTGGAAGACATCTGGGTTACTCTTGTTAAAGCAGTTGGTTTTCTCCTTTATCGGCTGGTATTTGGGCTCGCTGATGTGATGTTGTGTTTTCACCATCACACGGCTGGATGAGTATAATGCATACTGTTTATATTGTGAGCTGCAACACAGTGGCTCAGTGGTGTCTCACTGTGACCTCATAGCAAGAAGGTCTCTGGTTTAAGTCTGGGCTGGGTCAGTTCTGTGTGGAGTTTGCATGTTCTCCTCGTGTTGGTGTGGGTTTCCTCCGGGTGCTCCGGTTTCCCCCACAGTCCAAACACATGCGCTATAGGGGAACTGATCAACTACACTGGCCGTAGTGTATGAGTGTGAGTGTCTGGGTGTTTCCCAGTACTGGGTTGCAGCTGGAAGGACATCTGCTTTGTAAAACACGTGCTGGAATAGTTGGCAGTTCATTCTGCTGTGGCGAACCCTGATGAATAAAGGAACTAAGCTGAAGGAAAATGAATGAATGAATGTTTTGAGCCAAATCTCAAAACTGTCCTCTGGTGCGACCGTCTCAAGCAGGGCAGTGCTGAGTTGGGATTGCAGTCGAGCAGGCGTTGTCACCATGATGGAGTAGTGTTTGTATGTGATTGGGTTAGGGTTAGGGCTGTGTGACAATTTCAGAAGAGCTTAAAGCAAGTGACGGCACAAGACGCTGTATTATTTGTAACTTCAGTAGAGCTGAATGTTCTAGAATAATTAATATGACGAAGACTATTACTCTGTTTTACATTGGCTTAATCAGTGTCTGCAGTACTGATATGACTGTACAGCACTGCTGGTTTCTGCTGTGTCCTCGCTCTGCATTCATCAGTGCTTGAATTAATATTTAGTTGTTTGAATGCAAATGATTTAATCCTCTCTGGAATCACCCCAATCAGCCTAAATGACTCAGTCATTTCCTAACGGAGCTCTTAAAGCAGTGCAGTGTTTATATTGCAGAATCTCTTGGAGAAATACTGAATGCGGCTGATCTGTTTCAGTGTGGTGCAGCGCTCCCCTCCAGCATATTAGCATAACAGAGTCTTTTCAGTTGTGACGTTCCCAATGCACTGATCTGCTGTTCCCATCGAGTGTTTGGACAGAGTGTTGATCTGTCGGTGTGGTTGGTGTCCTGATAGAGCTGATCTGAGTGGGCCGGAGGGCAGATAAACCCACCGGGGGCAGATCTGCAGATGAAGGAGTGGAAACTGTGAGGAATCTCCAGTAAACCCACAGATGAGTCAGTCATTCTGCTGCGATCCTGAGAAACAAACCCTCTGAAACACTCGTCAAACCCAAATCCACTGGTCTACATGTTAGTGTATAAGTCTTACAGAACTTAAGATTGTCTCTGTCCTCATCGTGATGGGCATTCACTGGAAACAGTCCTGAAAAGAGACAGAAATGAAGGGCATTTCCTGATGTTGTTCTTTGATAACTGATTGAATTGTTGAGAGATGAGTGCTGCTAATAAAGTAAAAGACAATTAGCAAATGAAGGCAGAGTAGAAATGAGACACGGCCTGGTAGCTCCGCCCTTAAGGAGTGATAGCCCCGCCCTAAATTAATTATAGCCCCACCCTAATGGACTTATAGCTCCGTCATAAATGACTAATAGCCCCACCCTAGCAAACTCATAGCCCTGACCAAAATCATTAATAGCCCCGCCCTAAATGACTAATAGCCCTGCCCAAATGGACTGATAGCCCCACCCTAAATTATTAATAGCTCTGCACTAAAGGACTGATAGCTCTTCCCTAAATGACTGATACCCGCGCCATAAAGGATTAATAGCTCCTCCCTAAATGGCTGATAACTCCGCCCTAAATGGTTGATAGCTCCTCCCTAAATGGCTGATACCCGCACCATAAAGGATTAATAGCTCCTCCCTAAATGGATGATAGCTCCGCCCTAAATGGCTGATACCCTCACCATAAAGGATTAATAGCTCCTCCCTAAATGGCTAATAACTCCGCCCTAAATGGTTGATAGTTGGACTATAAAGGATTGATAGCTCCTCCCTAAATGGATGATAGCTTCGCCCTAAATGGCTGATAGCTCCGCCCTAAATGACTGATAGCCCCGCCCAATTGGACTGATAGCTCCTCCCTAAATGGCTGATAGCTCTGCCCTAAATGACTGATACCCTCTCTATAAAAGATTATTAGCCCAACCCTACTTTACCTTCAGCTCCTCCCTAAATGTATGATAGCTCCGCCCTAAATGGCTGATAGCTCCGCCCTAAATGACTGATACCCTCACCATAAAGGATTAATAGCTCCTCCCTAAATGGCTGATAACTCCGCCCTAAATGGTTGATAGTCCGCCCTAAATGGCTGATAGCTCCGCCCTAAATGACTGATAGCCCCGCCCAATTGGACTGATAGCTCTTCCCTAAATGGCTGATAGCTCTGCCCTAAATGACTGATACCCTCTCTATAAAAGATTATTAGCCCCACCCTACTTTACTGATAGCTCCGCCCTAAATGACTGATACCCTCACCATAAAGGATTAATAGCTCCTCCCTAAATGGCTGATAACTCCGCCCTAAATGGTTAATAGCTCCTCCCTAAATGGCTGATAACTCCGCCCTAAATGGTTAATAGTCCGCCCTAAATGGCTGATACCCGCACCATAAAGGATTAATTGCTCCTCCCTAAATGGCTGATAACTCCGCCCTAAATGGTTGATAGTTGCACCATAAATGACTGATACCCTCGCCATAAAGGATTAATAGCCCCGCCCAATTGGACTGATAGCTCCTCCATAAATAAATGATAGCTCTGCCTTAAAGGATTAATAGCTCCACTCTAATGGACCGATCTGCCCTAAATCATAACCCCACCCTAAATTATTAATAGCCCTGCACTAAGGGACTGATAACTCCTCAATAAATGACTGATAGCTCCGCCCTAAATGACTGATAGCCCCGCCCTAAATGATTGTGTGTGTGTGTGTGTGCGTGTGTGTGCGTGTGTTTGTGTGTGTGTGTGTGTGTGTGTGTGTGTGTGTGTGCGTGCGTGTGTGCGTGTGTGTGTGTGTGTGCGTGCGTGTGTGCGTGTGTGTGTGTGTGTGTGTGTGTGTGTGCGTGCGTGCGTGCGTGTGTTTGTGTGTGCGTGCGTGTGTTTGTGTGTGTGTGTTTGTGTGTGTGTTTGTTTGTGTGTGTGTGTGTGTGTCAGTGTACAGTCAGCAGGATTCAGATCTTTACACTGCCAGTGGTTGTGTTTCCGTCAGTAGTAGAGCTCTCCTCCAGGACGGCTGCTGTGTGTGATTGACGAGCTAAATTTAGGCCCTGACTGCAGACTTGTCTCCCAGTGAACTCCCACCGACTCCCTCCGGGTTAAATACAATTAAAAGATCATTTGTTGAACAATATTCGACAGTTCATTCAGTCCTGTAAGCTAGATTTTAGGAACGATTCAGTCTAAAGCTGAAGAATGCCCCGCAGTTTACTCGTCCTGCAGGCAGAGTCGCTGGCTCTTTATGCAGCACACTGGTGTTGAGTAGGGGCTTTTATTTTGAAGCTTCTAAAAGTGCATTAATTCATCATCAAGCTGACCGATACACCATCAGCGGGTTAATGCATGTCTGATCAAGTGCATTCATGTGCTTTTCCTACAGAAATATTAGATTTTTAAAATAATAATACATTTAAAACACGTAATGCACTCTGCAAACACTGCTTTACTGTCACATTTATAGTCTAAGTGATTAAATAACAAGAAAGCAAGCACAAATATAGTGCTGTGTTCAGAAATAATGAGTCAAAATGAAGAGAGTTGCTCCTTAAAACGAGCAGAATAATCTGACAATGAGGGAAGCACAATAATCCTGTGTCCAGATGAACACATGGCAGATCACTGTCAGATTATTCTGTCTAAACTCTGTAATGAGAGCATGTTTTGCGTCTGCAGATGTGTTTTTGCATATGAAACGTGTCCAGATGCCGTGTTAGCGCTGGCTTTAATCCGTCAGCGCTGCAGAACATGTATCTTCTTGAACTGAACACACAGCTATGCATGCGCTAAACTCCATTCAGACATGTTTGACAGCTCGGTTAATGCCGTACATGCTGTACACGGAGGTAATATTGTGTGTTTGTTTCCGTCGCAGGGAGCTAAAGGAGATCCAGGCCTGTCCCCGGGTCAGGCGCCAGCAGGAGATCCGGTACAGTGACACTCTTACATTCAATAGATGCTTTAATGCAAGTGTGTTGTTCTGTCCAGTGTTGGAGTTGGACATGTGCTGCTGCTGCTGCTGTCTTGTTCTCATTTCTAAGATACAGGAAAGATGAATTAACCAGAACTACTTCTGTCAGAGTCTGTTTGTGTTTTACTGTAGATGAAAAACCCTCACACACACACACACACACACACACACACACACACACACACACACACTCACCGGCCACTTTATTAGGTACACCTGCTAGTTAATGCAAGTGTCTAATCAGCCAATCACAGGGCAGCAGCTCACTGCATGTCGGCATGTAGACATGGTCCAGAGGATCTGCTGCAGTTCAGAGCGCGCATCAGAATGGGGAAGAAAGGGGATTTAAGAGACTTTGATCGTGGCATGGTTGTTGCTGCCAGACGGGCTGCTCTGAGTATTTCAGAAACTGCTGATCTACTGGGATTTTCACGCACAACCATCTCTAGGCTTTACAGAGAATGCTCCGACAAAGAGGAAATATCTAGTGAGCGGCAGTTCTGTGGGCGCAAATGCCTTGTTGAAGAGGCCAGAGGTCAGAGGAGAATGGCCAGACTGGTTCCAGCTGATAGAAAGGCAACAGTAACTCAAATAAGCACTCGTTACAACCGAGCTCTGCAGAAGAGCATCTCTGAACACACAACACGGCCAACCTTGAGGCGGATGGGCTACAGCAGCAGAAGAGCACACCGGGTGCCGCTCCTGTCAGCTAAGAACAGGAAACTGAGGCTACAATTCACACAGACTCACCAAAACTGGACAATAGAAGATTGGAGAAACGTTGCTGCTCTGATGAGTCTCCATTTCTGCTGACACATTCGGATGCTCGGCTCACAATTTGGCCTCAACAGCATGAAAGCATGGATCATCCTGCCTTGTATCAGCGGTTCAGGCTGGTGGTGGTGGTGTAATGGTGTGGGGGAGATTTTCTTTGGGTCCATTAGTACCAATTGAGCATCAACGCCACAGCCTACCTGAGTATTGCTGCTGACCATGTCCATCCCTTATGAGCACAGTGTCTCCATCTTCTGATGGCTACTTCCAGCAGGATAACGCTGCATGTCATAAAGCTCAATCATCTCAGACTGGTGTCTTGAACATGACGATGAGTTCACTGTACTCAAATGGCCTCCACAGTCACCAGAGCTCAATCCAATAGAGCAGCTTTGGGATGTGGTGGAACGGGAGATTGGCATCATGGATGTGCAGCCGACAAATCTGCAGCAACTGTGTGATGCTATCATGACAATATGGAGCAAAATCTCTGAGGAATATTTCCAGCAGCTTGATGAATCTACACCATGAAGGATTAAAGCAGTTCTGGAGGCAAAAGGGGTCTAGTGAGGTGTACCTAATAAAGTGGCCAGTGTGTGTACATCAGTCATCTGTCATTTTAAAGCATAATATCATTTATTCATGCACTTTCATGTTCTTCCATTAAAGATCTGCAGAATTTCAAAGGTACTAAACAATAAAGACAGATGTACACTGAAGAACGCCTGTTAATGAACAGTTTTGGGATTTTGGGTTTAGTGTTTATCAGCGGTGGTGAACTGCATTATGGGATGTTGATCTCTGCTCTGTCCACTTCTGATGATGAAAACTCAACTCTACACTTTACCAAGAGACTTTTACTGACATTTTAGTGGTTTGAAATAATAATAGAGGATATCTAGTGAAATAAGTGTGTAAAATAGCAGTAAATGTGCTGCAGTTTATTACATATTACACATGAGCTGAAAAGTCAGTTTTGCACACGTTTCTTGATTAAAAGTTGTTGGAGGAAGGATCAAGATCCCACAATTCAGTTCACAAGCAGAAATAAACAGGGAAAAAGAAGAACATCAATCACAAAATAGGCAAAAATGCTAATTTACGAATGTTTCACAGTGTTGGCGTGTCAGCGAGATCCAAAACCATTAATATAAAAAAAATCTGGGCATGATTTCCCAGGATGCACGTTGATTTCAAAATGACATCATAAAACACATCAATAATGCAAACTGATTTGATGTTAAATTCCTGACGTCTATTTAACATCCACACATTGATGTCTATTAGACCATGAAAAGAACGACACAACAGTATTATGATATAAGAACAGCTGGTAACACTGTAGTTTGAGTCACTCCTGCTATTATCTGCTGGCTCTTCACCTGCCGGTTACTGCAATATTCACTGTTCACTGAGTTAGGAAGTGTGACTTTATTCTGCATGATTAATCCCAGACAATACCTGAACTGTAATAAGCGTCTGATCAGCAGATGATTGAGTTAAAGTCTTGTTAATGGTTTGTTAACAGCATGAATCGTGACTTTAAATAAAGTATTACTGAAGCGTTTTATTCATCTAAAAAGCTTCAACTACACAGGATTGTGCGTCTCTACAACACATCAAAATACCTGAATGTTAAAGTTCTGTCATATTGATGTCTAACACTGGCTTCAAAAACATCATGAATCAGTTACGGGACTGTCAAGTAATCAATTTCTGACCTGATTTATTTATTATTTCATATTAGATGTCAATGTCATGTCATTTTAACAGCTAGCTATTAAACTGACACAATCGATTAACGTGAAGATTATGTATAAACTAATGTCGAGAGGATCACGTGCTTATGATTGCTAGCGGCTGGATCTGCATTATCCAATTCACTACGCTCCAATCAGACGACTCCTAAACTACTATAAATACCCTGGGGTTCATTCCACTGCTATCTTCGTTTTGAAGAGTCTTCCCTTCCACCCCTACTCCTCCTTCTTCCTAGATGAGTGACACGGTGGCCCAGCGGTTAGCACTGTTGCCTCACAGCAAGAATGTCTCTGGTTCCAGGCTTTACCAAACCAGCAGACATTTCTGTGTGGAGTTTGCACTTTCTCCCCGTGCTCACGTGGGTTTCCCCCGGGTTCCTCTGTTTCCTCCCATGCAAATTAACTTAATTGACTAATCCAAATTGGCACCATAGACATTCTTCTAGTATGTAGTTATCTCCAAGAGCAATCACTTGCTGTTCATTGGTTACTACAGCAGGGGAGTTCTCGAGATCTACCTGATCTCAAACTCCCCTCCCGCCTTGCAACAGGAGGGAGCCCCAGGCTTAAGGATCTCATGAGCTCAGGGCTCTCTCTTATAATCAATCATCAGCTGAGTGTGAACTCTTGAATTACTGTTTATTATTAATATTTTGTGATATTTACTATTATTTATTTATTATTAAATTAACAAAAATTGATTAGCATTGTTGACATGTTTTTGATGTTGTTTTGATAAGCGCTTGCAACATTTATGGTGCTAATTTAGTAATTATAGATTCAGTTCCTGCTCTTTTTAATCAAATAGAGAAGTGAAGGAATAAACAATTATATTATAAAAAAGGTAAAGCAATGTTAGTCGGTGTATTTATGATTGTATGGTATTGTATGTTTTGTGTTTTAAATATTTTGTTATTTGTTTTGTTTTTGGATATAAACTAAGAGTCTGAAATCAAGTATAATACAAGAATAATAATAATAAAATAATCATAATAATAATAAAATAATCATCATAATAATAATAATAATATAATTATTATAATAATATAATAATAATAATAATAATAATCATAATAGAATAAAATAATAATATTAATTCTACTACTAATAATAATAATATAATAATAATAATAATAATAATGATGATGATGATAATAATAGTAAAATAATAATAATAATAATTATAGCAATAATAATAATAATAATAATTTTAATAATAATTAATATTAAAATGATAATAATAATATTAATAATAATAATATGATGCTAATAATAATAATAATAGTAATAATAATAAAATGATAATAATAATAATAATAATAATAACAATAATAATAATAATAATAATTATTATAATAATAATAAAATGATAACAATAATAATAACAATAATAATAATAATAAAATAATAATAATTACGTTAAAGTAAAGTTTTGAGTCGTGTTTCTGTGTGGAGTTTGCATGTTCTCCCCGTGTTGGCATGGGTTTCCTCCAGATCCCCCGGTTTCCCCCAAAGTCGAAATACATGCGGTACAGGGGAATTGGATAGGCCAAATTGTCCATAGTCTATGTGTTTGAATGGTAGCGTATGGGTGTTTCCCAGTGATTGGTTGCAGCTGGAAGGCCATCTGCTGTGTAAAACATGTGGTGGCCCCTGATCAATAAAGGGACTGAGCTGAATAAAACAAGAATAAAAGAATGAGAAGTGTTGAAATGCTGCAGTGTGGCCTATATGACTGATTTATGCAGGATTTATCATCACATCAATGTTTTATTATTCCAGGGTGATCGAGGTCGGCCGGGTCCCCCAGGTCCTAAGGGTGATCCAGGTCTGAAGGTAAGTACACTCCTCCTGTTCTGTCTTAAAGCTGGTTTTAGCTGAATTATGGTCTGTTTTGGGCGGTGGATGCAGTGTTTCATTCTCCACAGTGTTGGTAGTGTATCGGTTACCGCCACCGCGGCAGAAAGGCCCCTCTGGATTGGGTTTCAGAGCAGAATAAAGGGCCTGTGTGGTGTTTTCGGGGCAGGCGGAGGTCTGTTCACACTTCCCGAGATGTAGTTTTGCTCGGGACTCAGCGTCACTCGGGAGCCCCACTAGAACCTGAGAACCCGCAGGGGTCAAAGGTCATCTTTTAGAGGAAAGGCATGCTCCTGATGACAGCCTCGGTCCTGCGGTGCATCTACAGAAGCGCAACTTTCAGTTTAAGTGACTCCTGAACTAGAGCATGTGTTTTTGTGATATTTACAGGCTCGAGATGTGTATGCATACACATATATACATATACATATATATATATATATATATATATATATATATATATATATATATATATATATATATATATATATGTGTGTGTGTGTGTGTGTGTGTGTGTGTGTGTGTGTGTGTATGTGTGTGCATTTTGCTTAAAAATACTTAATGGAAATGTAAAGATGCGCACAACTGAGTAGGATAAACTTCATCTGACAGATTAAATGTGTATAAACAGCTGTAATGAATACAGTCTTCATCACTGCTGTAGTTTCTGCTGATCAGAAGATCTGACAGTCATAAATGTGTGTGTGAGGGTCTTTGTGTCAGTAATGTTGGTCTGCAGATATTAATGTGTGTGTGTGAGGGTCTTTGCATCATTAATGTTGGTCTGCAGATATAAATGTGTGTGTGAGGGTCTTTGTGTCAGTAATGTTGGTCTGCAGATATTAATGTGTGTGTGTGAGGTTCCTTGCGTCGTTAATGTTGGTTTGCAGATATAAATGTGTGTGTGAGGGTCTTTGTGTCAGTAATGTTGGTCTGCAGATATTAATTTGTGTGTGAGGGTCTTTGCGTCAGTAATGTTGGTGTGCAGATATTAATGTGTGTGTGTGAGGGTCTTTGCATCAGCAATGTTGGTCTGCAGATGTAAATGTGTGTGTGAGGGTCTTTGTGTCATTAATGCTGGTCTGCAGATATTAATGTGTGTGTGTGAGGGTCTTGCATCAGCAATGTTGGTCTGCAGATGTAAAAGTGTGTGTGAGGGTCTTTGTGTCATTAATGCTGGTCTGCAGATGTAAATGTGTGTTTGAGGGTCTTTTCGTCATTAATGTTGGTGTGCAGATGTTAATGTGTGTGTGTGAGGGTCTTTGTGTCAGGAATGTTAGTCTGCAGATATAAATGTGTGTGTGAGGGTCTTTGTGTCATTAATGTTGGTGTGCAGATATTAATGTGTGTGTGAGGGTCTTTGCATCAGTAATGTTGGTCTGCAGATATTCATGTGTGTGTGTGCGATGAGTGAGAGATTGAATAGATGTCATGAGACTTTATCGAGTAGCTCTAAAAGATGATGAAGTCCTTGTAAACCCCATTGAGTCCTGGCTGAATAATGGTTGCTCTGAGCTCATTATAGGCCTGACAGTAGCTCAGTGTGTTTGGGTTTTCATTTGTAATCCCATGAGAACAGACAGCTCTCTGACAGTGAACGCTCTACTAGACGTGTTTTCTTTGGAAACAGAGCTCTCCTGGACACACTTACCTCTTATTCTGGGTGCCGGTGTTTAGCTGAGTTTAAATGGTCAAGGGTCATTATCGGGGAAGGGATAAAGGTGTGTATGTGTACTGTCGTGTTAGTGGATCATCAATGGATTCATCTAACAGAAAGTCTGGACAGACGTCTCTGTTTTGTCATGTGGATTACAGTACTGTTGTCAGAGCCAGAAATCACATTTGTCCAGTTTCCACCATAAGCTAAAGCAGTCCCAGAAGTCAGCTTAGCACCAGCACAGCACTTGTTTTGATGTCACAATAAGATTAAAAACGCTTGACATCTATTTGACATCCACACATTGATGCTGATTTGACGACCGAAGTAATGACACAAAAAAGTGTTATAATGCTCGACATGTTTTATTCATCTCAAAGCTTCAATTACTAATTAGAAGTTTACTCTGGTTGTTTTGTACTGTACAATGCTCGTAAACCACCCTGATGTTAAAATGACGTCAGATAGACATAACAATATTAGATGTCAATATGATGTTTTGACATCAAGGTAGTCAGTTGACATCAGATTTATTTGTGTGTTGACATGCTTTTTGACAGTGTTTTGATGCTTTTATGACATATTCTGCCACATTTCGAGTTGCATTCATATTAATTTAGTCTCCCATTTGAATTAATAAGGATGCATAAACATGCCCAAACATCACAGATAAGTGCAGAGTACATTTACGTGTTTTTGACGCCAATGTTAGATGTCAAATTGATGAATGTTGAACATCAAGGTAGTTTACATGAGTTGTAGTGCTACAAAATCCAGTGTAAATGTATATTTTGGTGTAAAGGGCATCAGTGTGTGTATGTCAAATATAATTTCTTATATATTTTAATAAATGAGTGTTAATGGGTGTTTCCCAGTACTGGGTTGCAGCTGGAAGAGCATCTACTGTGTAAAACATATGCTGGAATAGTTGGCGGTTCATTCTGCTGTTGTGACCCCTGATGAATAAGGGACAAAGCTAAAGGAAAATGAATGAATGAATATTTTTAATAATATCTTTTGTCATCAAGGTTCCTGAGAGGTTTATTACAACCAGTTGGCTCTCTTGTTTTTAAAACGGGATACATTCTGGCACATTTCGAGTTGCACTAATTGCAGTCTCCTTTAATTTAATATGGATGCATTATAACCCAGCGGGCAGCTCAGCACGTCAAAAACATGTCAAAAACGCAAAATAGATTTGAGTCAACTGATGAACTTGATGCCAAAACAACATCAAATTGACCTCTGACATTGGCATCAAAACATCGATCGCAGATTACATTGACGGGTTTATGACCCTTAAATTAAAGGTCAATTTTTGATGGCATAATTTGATGTATTTTTAACATTAAGCTAGTTTACATGCATTGTAGGGCTCCAAAATCCAGTGTAAGTGTTTTGGTCATCAAAAGGGCATCAGTGTGTGGATGTCAAATGGACGTCAAGGTTTTGACAACAAACCCATTTGCATGTATGACATAATGTTTTTTTGTCATCAAGGTTCCTCACTGAGAGGTTTATTACAACCAATTGACCATATTGATTATAAAATGGACATATTCTAGCACATGTCAAGCTACATTTATATTAATGTAGTCAGCCGTTTGATTTAATATGGATGTATAACAGCTCAGCGGGCAGCTTGAGGACAAAACAACATCAAAAATACGCCCAAAACATGTCCAAAATGCCAGTAGATTTGAGTCAAATGATGAACTTGATTTCAAAGCATCATCAAATTGACATCTCACATTGGCATGTCGAAACATCGAATGCAGATTACATTACAGATGTGTTTTTGACGCTTACGTTAGAGGTCAATATTTGATGGCATAATGTTGAAAATACATCAATTTGACATCTAAATTAAGGTAGTTTACATGCACTGTAGTGCTACAAAAATCCTGTGTAAATGTGTATTTTGGTGGTCAAAAGGGCGTCAGTGTGTGGATGTCAAATATAATATAATATAATATATTTCAATAAATGAGTTTGTATGGGTGTTTCCCAGTACTGGGTTGCAGCTGGAAGAGCATCCTCTGTGTAATATGCTGGAATAGTTGGTGGTTCATTCCACTGTGGCAACCCCTAATGATAAGGGGACTAAGCCGAAAAGAAAATGAATGAATGAATATTTTTAATATCATCAAGGTTTCTGAGAGGTTTATTATAACCAGTTGGCTCTTTTGTTTATAAAATAGTTTATATTCTGGCACATTTCCAGTTGCATTCATTGCTGTTTCATTCGAATTGTATGGATGTATAACAGCCCAGCAGGCAGCTTTAAGGTCAAAACAACATTAAAAAACATGTTTAAAAAAACTTGTACAAAATGCAAGAGGGTTTGATGTGAATTGATGAACTCGATGCCAAAACAACATCATATTAACATCTAACACTGGTGTCAAAAACACGTCCAACATCACAGATAATTACAGGTTACATTGCTGTGTTTGTGATGCCAGCGTTGGACATCAGTTTGATGTCATTCTAACATTAAGCTAGTTTACATGCATCATAGGTCTACAAAGTCCAGTGTAAACGTGTGTTTTGGTGGTCATAAGAGCGTCAGTGTGTGGAAGTCAAATGGACGTCAAGCTTGTGACATCAAACCCATGTGCATTTCTGCCGCTGATGTTCGTCAGGATGCCAGTTTGATGTTGTTTTGAGCTCGTGCTGCTGAAAGTCCACTGATCCAGCTGTGTCATGAGTTATATGTGAGATTATCCAGCTCTCTCTCCTACTGAACGCCGGACTCTTTGATACTGAGCTTGCTGAACTCCAGCGGTTCGTCTAAATGCTGTTTTTATTGCTCATTCGTGTATCTGGAGCACTCAAACATTTACAGAGCGAGAGCAGAGATAGTGCTGGCCGTAAATCAGGCTGACCTCTGACCTCTGACGCATCGCTGTCCTCTCGCTGGCCTGGAGGATTTTCCACAGGATTGCACCACACTTAAAAAGCCCTGCGCTCGACACACAGCGCCACCTGCTGGCAGACAGACCTCACCATCACCCCTGAACATTCAAGCGTTCGATGTGGAGATTAATCTGCAGACGTGACTCTGTAGTGTGTGTGTGTGTGTGTGTGTGAGTAGTTCTGACCTCCTCCCGCTCCACTGTCGGGACTTGTCTTTCTCCACGGCTGAAGCTGGAGCTGTCAGATCGGGGAAGCTTTAAAGGGTTTTGACAGTTCTGGGGAAATTCTTCAGGGCTATTAGTCTTATCTGAGGCCACTGGAACTTTAGGCAACATAATCCCCAGAGATGTGGATAGGATAGCGAGTCCACACACCTCTGCGGGGATATGTGGGAGTATTGAGCTTTGTGTTCATGCTGGTGTTTTCTGTAACATTCGATCATAATCCGCATCTGTTTTCCTCCATTGTAGGGTCCCAAAGGCTATCCAGGACCCGCAGGTCTGCCCGGAGAACAGGTGAGTTGATGAAACGCACCAAATGTCATCTCGAATTCCTATTTTCAGCTGCTGCTTCAATCGTTTAGTGTTCAGATGAAGCGTGAGCTGTCCTACTTGTAGATCTACAACAGGGTTAGGACACTTCCAGCTACACGAGTCAGACGGCGTTGTGTGCTGTTTCAGCTACATGAAGGAACATATAAGTGCTGTTTACTGATGCAGAAGATGCTTCTATAAGGATTACAGTGCATTTCTTTGCAGTTATCTTGGATAAATAGTGTTTGCATCTTTATTAAGTTTCAGTATAACAAGTTTAGAAACTATAGCAGTGCACAACAACAGCTCTAGCAAACTATAGCATGCATAAGCACAGTAGACCAATACAGCTGATCTCAACTTCAGAGGTCTCCATGTGGAGCGCTGAACATTATCAGAGTTATCATGTTTAGCAGTGAGTAAAGTTTAGTGTTTGCACAATTTACTTTTGAGCAACAATTTTAGTAATAAAAGTTTAATTTATTTATTTATTTATTTATAATTTTTAAACAGGAAAAGATTAAAAGATAATCGGGCCTGACTCAGCATGAATGCTGTTTTTCAGCAGGTTCCTGCTCTGCATAACATAAAAACAGACAGACATCTCATCCATCAACACAGTACAAACAATCACCAAACATATGAGATCAAGAAAAGCAGGCTACTATCTCAGTGGCTACAGCGATAGTTGACCATCAGATGACGAGCATGGGATTTCTTAAAAAGTCTCAGTGTTGGTATTGTTTTGAGATGGTGTGGGATCTCGTTCCAGACTCTTGTGAAAACATAAAAGAAAGATCTCTGTCCATAACAGTTTTTAAAAGCGGTACTGGCAAACATCCATTTGTTGCAGATCTGGTGGAACGATCAGTCCTTGTGTTGAGTTTTGGTACCAATGCACAAAGGGCTGCTGAGGTAGAGCTATTTAAAACTTGATAGTACAGTTTAATACCTGTGTTCATAATGTAGTTTTGAAATGTTAAAGCTTTAGAAAGTGATAAAGCAAAACAGTGATGTGTCTATCCAGAAAGTCTGTTGTGTATCTTATAGGCCCTATTGTACAGTCTAGCTATCGGCTCCAAGATATCGTTTGTTGTGAGAGACCAAATAGGCAGACAGAAAGACAAGGTAGACAAGATTATGGCATGCAGATCAGTTTCTGAAACAGAAAAAGACAAATTTGTCCTAATTTTGCCATAAACAAACATTTTGAACATGGTTACAATCAGTGAGGTGAGAGTCCAGACTGATTCCCAAATATTGATATGTGGATACAATGGAAAGTTTCAAATAATAATTATTTAAACCCCAAAACCATAGAAATGCAGCAAATAAAAGTAAAAAATAAGAATAATTTAGACTTCTTCTTTATAGTAATGATCATATCACACATGTACGTAAAGTACAAATGCATTTATGGTCAAAATATGCAAATACATGAGTCAGCATATGTGTGTCTGTGTTTTGTGGGGAAAACCGTGACCTTACAACACAAGATGCAACAAGCGTCGTGTCTGCCTGCATCAAATGCAACATGACAGAAACATATAAAGCAGCCACTGCACTCCCAATCTAATGTTAAAGGCTTTCAATCTGATGAACACACATTCAGGGTGTACTCTCATTAGATGCAGTTGTCTTGAACCGTGCCAAAGTGCTGTTGTCCCTCCTCCCCTCTCCCCCTCGTCCTGCACTCATATGGCAGTTTTACCTCTCGAGCTGGAGCACGCTTCCGTCATCGATGATGGACTGTTCAGTTTAACAGAAGAGAAGTGCTCTCGCTCAGCACAGTGGACATCGCTTTAGTTCTGTTGTTTTATATTATTTGAAGTCGTTTGACACACAGATCTGCCACTGCTGGCGCTCATAAACATTCATCAAGTCCTGCTGCTGCAGGTATGAGGAGGTGTGCTGAAGGTGCAGCTGTGGTGCAGTGAGGGGTTTGCGTCTTTAATCAACTCTGACAGCTCGTCTTCAGGAAGAATGATTTATCTATTCATATCAAACAGCCCCTTAAAGTCACGTCTCGTCTTCAGTTTTGGGCTCAGGTGCACTTTATGCTGTTTACACCAGACGCGGAAGAACCATCAAGCGTGAGTGATTTACATGTTCAGTCAATGCAAAAACACGAACACACATCCTGTGGTGCGATACACGCGAGTTACGCAAGTTGTGCGATTTGCGCGATTGCCATGTTTAACTCGATCGAGTTCGAAAATCTGAGCTTCAGTGGACATTCGTGCAGCATTAATCAATCAGGAGCTTTCTCTTGTAGGGGGCATGCTTATGTAGCGCCTGTTGTTGTTGTCCAGGGGGGAAATCCTCCTACAGACACCGGACAACAGTTGATCAAACTGGGCTGGGCTCAGTCTGAAGCACCGCTGAAAGCCTCCATCATCCAGGTTCAGTTTCTGGAGGAGTTGATGAGCTCACAGAGCTGCTGCACCTATGAAAGATCTAGTGGACTCAGACACGGCTCCAAACAAATCCACGCTGTTTTTCAGCCTTCCTAAAGCACATAAACACTGTTATTAATAAAATCCATGTTAGCCATTTAGCAGTGAAGCTAGAGTCACCGGGCAGACAGAATCCCTGCCCATCATGCAAATCTGTGTCTATTGCTCTGTGAATTTGTGAATTTGTTCACACATGTATTTACGTGCAAATATTGCGATTTATCCGCCCGTTCCACGTCTGGTGTGAACACAGCTTTACACTTAACTCTACAAGCATATCGTGACAAAGCCCAACCGAACTACGCTATGGCACACCTCTTCCAACTGGGCCGGGGCCAGCCTACCGACCCGCAACTAAGCCCTATTTGGAGCACACACACTTGTCAAACAAACAGTAAACATGCCCGGGCATGGTTCGGATAGCCTAGTGTGAGTGCGTCCTAAAGCTGTTGAACATCAGTAATAGGCTACTGAGTGACTGATGTTGTTGGTTTGAGTCTCAGTTTTGACTTTCATTTTTACACCGTCTGTCAGTTATTTATTTCATTTAGGATATAAGATCTGCTGCTGCTTTCAGTATTAAAATGTTGTAAAATGTCCAAACATCGCATTCAGTGAATGGGTTGGATAAAATGTGTTTACTCTGATAGTGGGAGCATTGAACACTGAGTACAGCACATAATCAGCACCTGAGGTGATCTTTGTCCTTGTACTTTGTCATGCTTATTCTGTTGGGACATGGCAGAAATAAAAATGCTTTCTAAAATACAGAAACTCCTTTTAACACAGAAAAGATAGCCTGTTGCAGTGCCGCATTGCTTGATTTTAGGACAAAATGTAAAGCTCGATAAAGGCAGATATGACACAGCCCACCTTTTGTCCCTTTTCACACTACACTATAAACATATCTACCTAAAGCTGACATCTCTTCTCCTAAATGAACCGACTGCACTTGAAGCAAACGTTTTAGGTTGGTTTTGTGATCCATATGAAACAAACACAAGGTGCAGTCTGACCTCATGACCTCATTCAAATCACATGACAGAAGCATCCACACACTTGTAACCAAAACGGTTTAAGACATTTACGATCAAGACCAAGCTGGATATTATGATCAACACATAAGTTGATTCTTAGGGTGAATACATACAGTAGTTAGATTGGCAGATTACTAGAAACAGCTGTAAATGCGGTCAGTGTCATGACCATCTCATCAAGTGTGCATTATCTTGGGCATTTTTAGCTTTTAATTTGAACGTTTAGAAGCTTTATTTAAAAGACAGACATTGTTAGATTCCATATATGCAAGTTAATCATACGCTTGGCAAGCAGTTTTTGAGTTTGATATGTCCCCATTCATCTGAATGCCTGAGAAACTTTCAACCCTGCTGAAAAATCCAGCTTAAACCAGCCTAGGACGGTTGGCTGGTTTTAGCTGGTCCACCCGCCTGGTTTTAGAGGGGTTTTGCCCACTTGCAGGCTGGTTTTCAGCCATTTCCAGCTTGGTTATAGCTGGACAGGCAGGGAGCCCAGCCAAAACCAGCTATGTCCAGCTTAAACCAGGA